ACCCTCTCAACCCCCGCATCTCTGGCCTGCACCCCAGCTCTTGTATGCATAAATAAATACTTTTTTTTAAAAAAAAAATCCATCAGTCCTGTTAGCTGATAAAGGTGAAGGATACCTGCCATGACTCAGGTGTCCTGATTGAATGTCGTCTGCCTTCAGGTGGGTCATGCACTTTCTCCCCAGCATGTTAGTCTGGTGGAAGATGCTCTGTAATAGTAATTGTCCTTCCCTTTAGCTCCTTCAGGTGCAGGATTAGAGATACTAAGACAAAGTGCATTTCTTTCAATGAATTTTGTTTTTGTTTTTGCTTTTTTTTTTTTTTGCATAACCACAAAATATAAGAACCAGGAAAATAGAACTAGATGATTCTCATTTAGAAACTAAAGAATACCTTGCAGTTCTTTTACATATTTTCCCTGAACTCATTTGACTCAGAGGTAAGTCTGTCCTTTTCACAAAGAGAACTTGGAAAGAGCACCCTAAAATTTTCATTCACTGTCTATTTTCTTTCTTTTTTAAATCTCATAGAGCCTAAAGTGGGAAAAGTCTTCCTTCGGGCCAAAATGAAATAGAATCCTGACACTAATTGTGGTGATAAAAGTAATGATAAATGTTGTGACAGGAACTTTGTTGGCCCCTCTGCAGAGGGAAACTCGGTGAGGGACACGGCAGCCGTGGAGCAGGTTTGCAAGGCAAGACTGCTACTGGAGTAGAAGGTCTTGTGCCATTTATTGAAAGCACACAGGCTGGTAGAACTTCGGCACGAGACAGGGGTATGAGGAGTAAGGTCTGGAGGGTGGAATTTTAATGAGGGAGAAAGTTTTATGAGGAACAGAGAAGGGGACATCATGAGACATATGTCAAGAGATATTTGTGTCAGCAGAGTATTTGATGTTATCACAGGAAGAGTTATCCGAGACCACCATGGAGAGTCACATGATCAGGTCAACAGCAGCCTAGGTGTTTCCAGGCCTGCCTCGCGGTACAGACTATTGTCCGTAGGTAGTCAAGGAACGCTCTGCTGTGGTTTGCAGAGCATTAGGTCACAATTTTGTTTTGCAGAGCATTTTGGTTTGCAGAGCATTAGGTCACCTACTTGCAGAGCAAATAGGTCACAGTTGCCCATGAATGGCCAGCTAGTAGGAATCCACAGATAAAAGCAAATGTTTCCAGAATTATGGTGTTTTAAGAGGAACTTTCTTAGACACTGAAATATTTTTGAACTTAAAACCAAATCTGTTCTAGATAATAATGAGTCAACCATCTCTCAACAACTATTCCAAAATTGACTTTTACTATGTTCTTTGGTTTTGAAGACCCTAAATGTGCTGGGCACCCTTCTTTGGAATTATGGGAATCTGTGTATAGTTGTGTCCTATTTATGGGGGTGGGGGAGGGAGGCAGAAAGAGAGAATGAAAACCTAATTTATTCTGTTGTTCATTCCCTTTCACTCTCCCTGAAGTATGGGGGAGGTTGATGGCTATTAGAAACTCAAGTGTAAAACTATGAAGAAACCAGAGCAGAGGCTGAGGGGGTTGGCTTGATCTCAGTCTGGAGGAGAAAGGGTCTCAGAGAGCAGATGTGTGGGGGCATGGAGGGAGAGGGTGGGAGGCAGCACTGCTGTTACACTCCTGTCTCCTGTATTTCTTTATTTTTTAAAGTCACTCTTCTCAGAATCACTTCTGAGAACGCCTCACTTAGTTAGCTTTTTAAGGAAGCATTTAAAAAATATATTCTTGGTTAATCATGTTATTTTGTTTTATTCTCCCTGTCAGTGATTCCTGTATTTCTCTTTCTTATTCATCTTCCCTCTTGTTTCTTTGTTCTCTACTCTGGTATTCTTTTTCTAGTCATCAAATTGCATGCATTATTTTTCTGCAATCATTTTCCCCTTCATAGATGAATTTAGAGCCATAAATCATCCTGTGAATATCACTTCAGTGGTATCCTGCAAATTCTGATAAATACTATTTTCAAAATTCAAATTTTCCCTTTTGTTTTTAATACCGTGGGATTTTTAACGTTATGAACAGGATGTTAAAATTGAATTTTCCCACCTCCAAGTTAGAACTTTAAAAGTGAAAGTAACAGATGCCAATGACAGTTAGAATACGAAAATAACCCTTCAGGCCCTTTTTACACACTGATTCTTAAATATAACTAACTAGCAGGTAAATGTTGCAATAAAGAGTAAAGTTTAGACTGCATATACATATTGCAAGATGAAAGGATGCCTGTGACGGGATGGTGAGTGAATTTTTTTAAATAATAAAATATTAGAAATCACTTTCAAGATTCCAACATACATTATGGCATATCTGTGTTCAATATTCTATGCCAAATCAACTGATTTTAATCTACATATATAAATATGGATATATTTTCAAAACATGATGCTAAATGAAAATAGCAAGTTCCAAATGCTTACGCATTGTATGATGTGTTGTATGATGTAGGTGACGAAAGGCAAAATGGTAATACAAAATGAACCCAAAACCCCATAAAGCAATATGTACTGACGCTGCTTTAGATTATGAATTGAAAAATGCAAATAATGCAAATAATGCAAATAAAACAAGACAACACCGAGATATATCAGGATGACTGGCTGGCCCGTGAGTCTTTTTCAGATAATTATTGTACTTAATGAGATTGAGGCATATTTACTATACATTTAATAATTTAAAAATAAGTTTATCATCATTCTATTTATTTCTATCTCTTTTTTAAGTAAAAAAAAATTCTTCAAATTCTCTACCGTATTTATACCTTTTAGTAAATTTGTGTGTATGTGTGTGCACATTTATTTACACACGTACATATGCACACTTCTACATATGTGCATATATCATTTCCCTATACTGTAGATTTTTTTCACTACATAAATATTAAAAATACAGAAACCAAAACAAATCTTGGGCTGCGGGGCTCTGGGCTCTCTGCCTTAGCAATGGTCCTTTGGGAAAGTGAAGTATGGTAGAAAAATATTTTAAACTCTGTAAGCCTGAGATTACCGACCTGTTAAGCAATGGTGAAATTTAAAAGTTGTTGAAAAGGACTAAAGATAGTTTATGAAGCAAAGTAAACGGCATTATTATATCAGTTCTAGCTCTCACTGACATCATTATACACCTTTTTATAATTACAATGATATTACAACATCATTTCCTAGCTGCAATGACACCTATTTGTATCAGAGATCATTTCTGAAGGAAATAAAGAAGTAGAAGGAAATAAGGAATTACAGTAATAATGAACAAAATTAAAGAATGAATGGAAAATGGGATATTTTATATCTTTTTAGTGATCTAAAACCACCATTTCATGAAAAGAACTCAAGGCCTGAGTGATTGAATGTGGCTACTTGTTTTCCCAGTGAATCCATCAAAAAGTATTGCAGAAGAGTCAACTACATCTAAGGGCTATGGTAGTCAAGATGACCAGGAAAACCAAGAGCTGCCAGTGGGTGATCTATCCAGAATTGAGAGAACCCTGGAAGGGTGATATAACCCAAATAAAACGCGAGTTGACTTTGATACAGGGCTTTAAAAAGCTGTTATATAAAGTGGCACATGCATTTCTGATTCTTGAATAGCATATTCCCATCTTAGAAACAATCACTGCATATATAAATCAGAAATATCCCTTATTATACTACATACAGGAAAATTGGCATGGGAAACTCAGTTGTGATCACGCTCGACTTTCTGGAAAGCAATTACAGCTGATCTATAAGGACAACTAAAATACACATTTTGGTTTGTCTAGGCTTAATTTCTATTTCTGTGGCTGATTAAAACTCTAATTTTCAAATAAATCTGCCTACAGGTTGAAGGCCACTCTGGGTGGCTGATTCATCCTGGTTTCACAAGTCTCAATTTTGTACAAGAAAGAAATGGAAAAATACCCTGAATTGTAAACAATCAAAATGCCATCAGAAACCAACATGGTTTAATTAAAAAGGAAAATCCTTGGTAATTCATTTTTTTTCTTTTCCACTCTGTGGACAACAAAATAAAAATTTGTACAGAGAAGCAATTAAAACACAGTCGCCTTTTGCCCTCAGGACACCTGAGCTGAACCTTTACCAAAGAAACAATTAGTTTCAGATTTCTCTTTTTCTCCCCTGTGTCACACCAAAATTGCTTCCCATCTATCTTAGGAAAAATGCACTGTCTTGCTTCTTCAGTGAAGGGCAGGTTTCTAAGGACTTTGATAATATTGTTATTTTGTAAAATGGTAAGACCCACGGGTACAAGACCGCCGTCCCTCTTTGATTAGGACCTGGGACAGGCTGGAGACAGCCTCACATCATGAATTGTAATGAACTTGTATGACCACTGAAATGGGGCGACTGTCCTGCAGTCAAAGCGTGAGGGTGAGCGTGTGAACAAGCATGTCCAGGACCTCAGACCCCACCTAGAACCTGCCCCGAAAGCAGGGATGATGACAAGAAGGAGGAATCGCCAGACACAAAGGGCCAATACTGTCACCAAACCCCAATGTGCACCTACTTCCAGACCACATTCAGACCCCAGAGAAATCTTGCACGCCTGCTCTCCTGATCAGGAACAAATGCTAACTGAACAAGTGAACCAGAGGACAGAAGCCACACAAGAGCAGTCGCAAAACCACTTGGCAAAACCACTTGGCAGCGACAGAGCAAGACCAGAGACACACGGGACAGAGCTGACATTCCAGACTCTTTGCTATCACCCGCATGCAGGTCTTCAAGGGGGGCAAACACAGAGACACCTGGGCAACACCAGAATCCAGCAAAGCAAGCACTGAAGGTGTTCCGAGATCCACGTGCAAGGTCTCAGCCAGGCAAGAGCAAGAGGAACGGAAAGCGAATGCCCTCGGCAGAGCGAGCGAGGCGGGTGAAATGGCCCATGAGTGCAGACACAGCTGGAGCTCCAGGATCAAGGGGACCTGCCCCTGGGGCACCCCATGCAGCCCTCTCCCCGCAGCACACAGGAAAAGAAGAGAGAGCTCTTACTGTAGCCCACGGGAGTGGCTGAAATCTTTCATATCTGAGTCCTCATAGTGCGGACTTATCATGCCCAGCCCACCATCGCTCAGCATGCGCTGCCGCAGGACGGGGCTCCACCAGTCTGCCATCCTGGGGGGAAGAAGGGGGTTAGCATTCCGAGTCCGCCACAGCTAGTCTGCTCTTTGGGACGATTCCTGTCTTCTGATGGGAGAAGAGAAGCCACTCCTACTTACTAGGTCCTTCGCATTTATTTAATTTTCTCAACCATCATCAGCCGCTCCTTGTGACTCTGCCCTCTTTACAGATGAGAAAACTGAACTTCCAGATTCAGTGATTTTTTAATAGGACCCAAATATAAAAAGGAATGGAGTCTGTTGTGGGATGCAGATGAGGAAATATCAGGTTGTTGAAAAGTCATGACGTATCTTTTCTATGTTTTTCAAGCAAAAATGCATCATGACTTTTCCAACAACTCAATAGCTAAACTCACCCTCTCTTACTGCTTCTCTGCTCCTGAATTATTTCCAGAGGGGGCAACTGATGAGAAATAAGAAAGCACTGACTGCAGTTCTAGTGAACATTCAGGCTGCTTAAGTTTTGGAGCTAAAGCTAACAGATCTAAACTAGGACAAAGTCATTTCTTGTGACCATTAATTGACAAGGAAGGAGACTAAGAGGCAAAGACCAGGTCATGCTTGGCAAAATGGGATTACTCTGTTAGCGCAGGGGTGGGAGCCCAGCTTTTTTCTTGTTCTTTCTTTTCCCTTTTTTTTTTTTTTTTTTTTTTTTGGCGGGGGGACTCCTAGACTCTAGTATCCACCACTTCTGCAGAGGACACAGAGTCTCACTTGCCCTGCGCACAACAGACGGCCTGGTTTGCTGTACATATCAACCAAGGGAGCCTTCTCCACCACCTTTTGGAATTCCTGGGGCTACATTATGCCAGCCCTTGTGCTTAGAGCTTCCCTTCATGCTCTGGCTCCCTAAACACAGATATATATGTTGCCCATCCTGCCACCGCTGCCTCCTGACTCCCCACAGACTCGGGACACACATGGGCCTCAGCTGTCCCTGACAGAGAGAGACATTCCCCAAGAGCAGCAAAGGTCAAACAAACCAAGGAAGACGAGGAGCCAGGGTCAGGGCTACTCGGTGACTCTGTCTGTCCCTACAGTGTGAGTATGCGTGCACCAGGTGTGTGCCCCATCTTGGTGCACCTGTATGTGCTTTCCAGGGAACCCTTATTTGAATGGTCCTGCTTTGTACAGCAGTAGGCACTGATGTTAAATTGACTTCACAAAGCAGAGACAGCCTCATGTTTGGCTTTAATTTTCACTGTGTTCCCCAAGTGCTGATGTACCTGTTCACAAAGTGTCCTCCCAATAAATATTTTTTAAATATTGAAATAACTAGAAATATTCATAATATTGGATGATTCAATGTAATGAATAAATACATGAAATCAGAAAGCCTGGGACTAAATCCCTGTCTTTCCTTTTGTTTTCTGAGTAGTCCTCGGAAAGTTACAAGATCCACTGAGCCGCAATTCTCTAGGCTATGAATTTAGTATAATAAGAGCACCCAACACGCAGAGTCGTGTGAGGATAACAATATAATACTTCATGATTATCTAGAGAGAACAGGGGATTGCTCTAAATGTTTTACACAGATCAGTTCATTTATTCCTCAATTTTGTCAGTAGGTATTGCTATTATTTCCATCTTACAGATGAGGAGACAGGTTTCTCAAGATGATTAAGTCAAGAAGTGGTGACAGGGAAATAAGAAATACGTCTGTCACACTGTGTGGCTCCTCATTAGTGTGTGGTGTGTCGTAGATATCGTTGCATAATTTACATGTCTCGGGCTGCCTGGACAAAGCAAAAAGAGGAAGAAAGGAGCAAGAAGAGGAGAAAGAAGGAAGGAATAGGAAAGCAATGGCAGAGCACCTGTGTCAGTGTCTATTTGGATAACACCGTCAAGCACAGATGCATAAGCTCAAAAGCAAATGCCAGTGCTTTCTTGTCTTGTAGGGAGTGTTGGTGTGGTGGGTATGGAACCTTTGAGCATGATACAAATCCAGGTGGTTTTGAGTGATTTTACACAGTTATTCATAAGACAGACTTATAATGGAACCAGGTATATCTCACTCTAAAGAGTCATCACAAGGAATCTGCATTTTAAGTTTGGTGTCACGAGAATGTCAAGTCCAAATCCAAGTGCATGTTACCCTACGGCCAGCCCCACCACTACACCCCCAGGGCAGATGCCTACTCACCCTGAGGCTTGCTCCACCACCAAGTCAGGCATTCCTGGAGGCGTGCCCGCCTGCTGGGACAGCGCCATGTCTGGGTCCAGAATAAAAATCTCATCGTGGGAAATCTCCATCACGAAATGCAAATGTTCCTAAGGAAGAAAATGAGTTGGTCAAGTGCAAATCTGTGTTCTGAAAGGTGACATGGCGAAGACTTCTTGGTCTTGAGGGACAGTGAAATTCAGTGATGCATCAGGCGGCCAGAGGGCCTGGTTAGAGGCCTGAGCAGTGGACACCCCTTCCTGGAGGCGGCAGAGCAGCAAGAGGCTAGTAAGGGCAAGAGCCGAATCTCTTCTGGATTGGGATTCCCAGTTGACCGGGATCTTGTTAGGCACAACCAGAGATGGTCTTGCCTTTTCTGCCCAAATCTTACCCAAGACATGCCTTCCCCATATGCAACTGGTTCCAGCTTGGTCTTGACTTCACCCCAGGGTCTGGTCAAGGCTAAGTGGTATGGTTAACACCTGGCTTTATCACTGGACTCCATACCATACTCTTCCTCACCCAGGAGAATCTGGACCTTCGAGCACTTGATGTGATTGAGCTTTACCATTTCATTACTCTCCTCTGGGAAGTAATGACTTGAGACTCAGTAACTTAGACATGCACTTGGCATCTTAAACTTGCTAACGAAACATGAACTTGGTTTTCTTATATTTTTCTCATTGAGGTAACATTGGTTTACAACATTGTATGTGATTTAAGGGTACAGACTCGTACCTCCCCAAATGCATGTCACATACCATACCCCCCATCAAAGCACTCACAGTCCTCACCCACAGCCCCTGAGCCCCTTCCTGCCTTTGCTCCCCACCCCTTTGGTAGCCTCAATTCTGCAGTCACATTCTTTGGGGTTTGTTTTGACTTAGTTTTATCTGTTCTTTGTTTCATTTCTTTACAGCTTACATGAGTGAAGACTGGTACTTGTCTTTCTCCTTCAGACTCACAGAGAATGAGTCTCCACAGAGACATAAAAGTTGACTATGTGGAGGAATATAGGTGCCTTGGTGGTGTGAGTTTATACCCCTGAAGAGGGTGATCCTAGACCTTTAAATCATATACAGTGTTGTAAACCAATGTTACCCCAATTAAAAAAACATATATGAAATTAAAAAGAACTGTCTGGGAAGCAGTAAAAATAGCAGTATAAATGAAAAGTTGGCGTGCAAGCTGGTGATAATATTTACAAGTCTGGTTATTTTCTCTACTCATTCGCAAGGTCAAGCCATATCTCTTGGGTCCACAAGTCACAAAACACATGAAGGCAAATTAAAAATGCATAGTTTAGGCTACAAACACATTCCAAAATTTGTAAATGCTTCAGTTATTTTGCTGGTAAACTTCACAAGATCAGCCGCCAATAAAATTTTTCACTTTCATAAGTCCACTCAAGAAAACTTACCTGAGATCTGTCTATTCGATAAAAGCGATCAGCAGAAGTTGCTAGGAAATAAAAAATTTATATGACATCAGAGTGTACTGTGCCTGGCACCAACTTTCAACTTTTTCTCCTCCTATGTCAGTCAAAGGCCTTGCATTCCAGGCATGCTGGACTATTGGCCAGTCCCTGACTCTATTAAGCAAACCTCAGCTCTTCCATGCCTCTGCCACAGCTACCCCACTGCTTAGAAAGCCCTCCCCCCTAGCTCGTATCCACAGCTTACTTAGCTTTTAAGGATCAGCTCATATGGCTTCCTTAGTCTCAACCTCCTATCCCTAGACAGAATTCCTTGCTCCGTGCTGTATGCACAGTTACATTAGCCAGACTTCCTAAGGCAGCAATTCTTATTTTGGAAAAGAGCTTGAAGATACAGAGCCAGGAACCACATCTGGCCTTAAAGGAATCATTTCATTTTAAAATTGAGTCTCTAAGCTATGTCTGAAGAAAGTCAAAATAGCAAAACAAACAAACAAAAACCATTTAAGCATTCCTAAAAGAGACTGACTACATCTGTGGTTTGAGAAAAAAAAAAAATTTGTTAAGTACAAATTTGGGGTTTCTAAAATCTCTGATTTTTCTTAATATTCAAAAGATTTCTATCTTCCTCCTCACTTAAATCTATCTAACAGTCTAAATATTATAAATAGATTTCCTACAAAGTACTTAGTACTAGGAGAAAAAGTTAAAATGCAAAGAATCAATCATCATCAAAAAAATCATAAATATTTAATGAGCAGTTTCTGTGCAAAAGGAACTGGGCAGAGAAATAAGACTTTCATGATCCCTGCCCTCTAAAAGCCACAGGAGAATAAAATCTGCCTAAGAAGGACTTAACTTTACCGTGTTCTTTTGTAACCATGGCTAAAACCAACTTTTAGAGATTTTAAACAAAATCATTTGCAGTAAAAATATTAACCAGGTTAAGGCCATCATCAACTTTGGTCATTTTATTTAAGGCTCTATACAGAATAAACTATATAGAATGCTTCCTATCAATTTTCATAATTTTCTTAACTGGAAGTTGTTCTTCCAGATACAGGAAAATAAATGATCGTGTCTCTCAAACACTTGGGAGTAGAGAAGGAAAAGCAGTGTAAATTATCCTCTGCAGCAGTTGACAAGCCATTAATGAAAACCCACATCATGATTTATGTGGGTTAATCTCATCTGGACACAACTGCTCACTTTCATAATATGGCCCCACTCTTACAGGTCTGGTCCTACTCTTACCCACATGTACATCCTGTCAGATGCACACACAGATAAGCAAGTGAGGTGTACACTGAAAACCCTGTGTTCACATCAACAAGAGCGAGAACTGGATAGTAGCTACACCAGGTAGCAGCTACACTGGGTAGTAGCTATACCGGGTAGTATGCAAGCAGCAATGTATTGCAACATGGGCAGATGGATAAAAAGAAGGAGTAGGTTGCATCTAGGGAATGAGCAATAATTGATATGGAAAGTGAGCTCATTAGCCAATCGGAAAATAACTGAATTGTTACACATTCAGTGGATCATGCTCTGCAGGGCAGATGTGAATGCAACTAAAATTTTCTACAGTTCACAAAAATTTATACCTCATGCTGAGAGGATGGATGGGTCAATGAAAATAATAGGAGAGTTCCATAGTAAGCCAACAAGATACAAATCACTACCTATCCCAAGATTACTAAATCCATCCAACAGCCCGAATTTAAGGCAGGCACTCAGCATTTGTCAGGAAAGCTATAATGAAAGGAAGGGTCAGCTCGGGTGATGTGATGCTGAGAAGTTCAGTCCATTGGCCAGTTTGTGTGGTGGGAAGTGATTTCAGGAAATTGCGTGGCATCAAGTCCACATCATTTGATTGATACATACCAGTTATGTGGAAGCCACATGAAAGGTTTCTGCATCATCTAGAGGCCATTCTATCCACCAGTACCTTGCTCTGCTGTGCCCCTGGGCCCTCCATGAAACATAGAAACACTCACCATCTAGAAAGCACCACCGTGGGGAGAGCCTCTGAGCTGACAGTGCCCTGGGAAATGAGGTCTCGTGGTCCTGGAAAGAGAGACACACATCCTTGCAGCTCCCTCTTAATGACCGAGGGACTCCCCTGCCTGGACCCTCCTCCATAGCATCTATTTCTAAGAGTGAGCATTTCCCCTGAACAAAATAAAATGATTTGAGAAATCAAATCATATCTATTTTATTAGAAATATAAACAGCGGCCCTCCTTAGAAATATATTATTTTACACAGAAATTTTTAAAACAACACCCACACATAAATTTCCAGGTAGTTTTCAATTATTCCATTAAACATTTATACATTAGGTAATACGGGACATTTCCTCCTTGGGGCCATTCTTTACAATTTGTGAAGCTGAAGACCTAGCGGCAGCTGGCTACCATCTGTATTTTGGTTCTCCACACAGTATGCCCAGTTCTCCTACTACAAGAGTCTGTGCTTATCCTCACTGAAAAAAATAAAAAGCACATTCTAGTTGACAAGGCATTCTAGTCCTGACTGATAGGGAAACTGAAATCACTGACAGAAATGAAACAAACGAGGAGGGAGGCCAGGCCTCTGTGGGGAAGGTCATGGGGGTTTGACCCTTATCAGGAGTCACAGATGTTCAAACTTAGGGATGCGCCCTGGGATGCAGCTGGGTTTGTGTGACCTTGTGTGCAGAAGTGGACGGGAGAAGGAAATGAGAAAAACCCAGGAAAAGTAATAGGAGAGCCGACCAGAGGTTGCAGGGACGTCCTTGGGGTTTAATGAACACTCCCCACTGCTGCTGACTCCCAGGAAGTGTCTCTGCCTGCACCAGCGGTTCTCAGAGGGTGAGGCCCGGAACAGCAGCTTCAGCTGGGGCTCCTGTGATTCTTGCAGATTTCCAGGCAGCACCCTGGAAACTTCCTAAGGGTCAACTGAAACCCTGGGGTAGAGCCCACACCTTCAGGTGAGTGTGGTGTATGCCAGAGTTTTAGAACCATGGGCCCAAGTAAGATTCATGTTACTACTAGAAATCTTGGGTATGCGGAGATTTTAATATGAATGGATACTGCAAATTAAATAACTGATAGAGGAAAAATTGGTCAGGTTGACACTAAAATTTACGTTATAGAGAGTTGATATAGCAATGAATAATGAGATATATATTCTTTTTTAAACTGATTTTGTCATCTGGCTGGTTAAGCTAAACGAAATCTTGATGTGTGCTCACTCACTATTCATATGAGAATCACTTTTAACATTTTAAGAATTATATTTAGACTCATGCGATATCTTGTTTGAAAGGAAGTTACGGCTCTTTAATATATTTTTATAAAACATGTAAAGCTATCAACGTGTGTGAGTTTGGTAAGAAATCAAATTATAAATCAGAGAAATGTAATTATAAAGCAAAAAAATCTGAAAGTGATTGAGAATATTTAGCGGCAATTATGAAAATAAAGAAAAGTATTAAACACAAATGGTTGTCTTCTCTAAGAATAAAGAGGCTTAAACACCAAGGACATTTCTGATACTAAATGTGCCATTTATGTAACAGAAGCATCTCCATGAAAAAGGGAGGTTCCATGCTTTCTGCCCCCCCCAATGAGGGGCGGAGCTGAGTGGCCAGGTGGAGCTCTACACAGGTGTGCTCAGAGGAGACACAGGAAGAAGGGTGTAGCTGCTGCTCGGCCTTGAACTTCACCAGTGACTTGGGGGACATGGAAGCAGACACATGGAGGAGACACATGTTGACACTGGAAGAGACATGTGAGAGATGGGCGGGGGGGAGCTGACAATGGCACCCATTACTTTGATTTATACTTTGATTTTGCTCCTTTCATCCTAGACTTTTCTGGACGCTTTTCCTCTTTCTATGGTTCCCCGCCAGAAGGTGCCTCAGACATGTAGCAGGCTGTGGGGCCTTGGTGGCCCCACTTTGGGCCAAGCCTGTTTGGCTAGGCACTTACCCATGTGGGGCATGCTTTGTCATTATGTGGTGAATGGCAGGGTCCCTTCAGAGCATGCTAGTCTGGGGGCCCCGCCTAGGTCCTGTGCTAACAGGGACCAACATGAAAAATCATCCTAATTCTCCCAGGCAAAAATTGACTCTGAAAAAACACAGAAACACTCGACTTACATTTAAAAACTCAAGAGCTATTTCTAGAATATTCAAATTAGAGAAAAATGGATGTTCTTTAGTATAACTTAACAAAATACAGACCTATTTACAGCCTCAGTCACAGATTAGCTTGCTTAGGCGGGCAAAGTGATAATGATATTGTAATCCTTTTTATGTGCAGTTGTCTGTGTGGCTGCTTTTATTCATTTATCAGACTTCATCTATTCATTTATTTTGCTCATTTTCTGCTCATTTATTTACTCTACACTTTGATCCACAAGGCAGCTGCTATAACTCAACTTTCTTGAATAGGTTTTTTAAGGCACAGACTTCCAGTTGCAAAATGAGTAAGTCATGGGGACATGACAGAGATCACGGAAGCTATATCATGAACACTGTGCTGTTTCTTCAGAAGTTGCTAAGTCAGATTTTGAAAATTCTCATCACAAGGCAAACACCTTTATAACAATGCATGCTCATGGATGTTAATATACAGATATCTCAATATATACAAATATTGAATCAGTACAGACACACCTGAAACACTGTTCTATGTCAACCACACCTCAAGTTTATAAAACAGACGTTTTGTTTAAAGAAAATGTTGATTGCTCTGTGAAAACACACTGAATGCCACTGAGCTCTTTGAAACATCTTAAATGGATCCAAGTGGGTCTTCAAAGAGATTCAACAGACCTTGAACACCCTGAAATCTCAACAAATATGGCATCTCTGTGTTTTGATCTGAGATTCCCCAAAAGATTAAAAAGCTACTTTGATAATCAAACATTTAGGAAGACCCTACCAACAAAATGCTGTAACAATATCCAAACTCACAAGGATAGAAATTCGCACTTCAAAGTCACTGATGACCATCTCCCAAACAACGGAAACTCTGAGCTCAGGGCTATTCTCCTGGTAATGGGCCAAAATCAGGCCAATTTCTACATGGATATTGTACATAGGATTCAATGAGCCTTTTGCTTATTTCTACCCAGGGTCTCAGAATAAAGTGCCTGAACTTCTACTTAAGTTTATCTTTAAAAAAAATAGACACAGGGAAAACACATACTGAGTATTGCATTACCTGAATAACTGAAATTAAACAGTACTTCACCAGTGAATAGTACAGGAACCTCATGAAAATATGTCTAAAAATATGTTTATATAAAAATATATTTATGTTTAAAAATAACTGGATATTTTTCTGATATCTAGGGAGAACACAATTCAATCAGAGGCCTGAATTCTCCAAATTGTCTTGCCTAAACTACCTGTGACTCCTCTCCCCTCCTATTTTGAAGCTCTTTAGCCTTGCTCATTGAAAAATAGGAGCTCTTAAGGGGACAGATATTACTATGAAGTCTCATATTAAAGGGCATTGAATTTCGAAGCAAAATGTAATTAACGTCTATCCAACATGGGTAAGACTTAAAATGCAAGAGAACTAAACTACTTATTTTAAATGTTTACAAATCAAAAAGATATATAAAAACATATATATAAGTGGAGTCTAAACAAAATTTTCCTCTGGCATCTAGTTAGTATTTGTGTGTGTGTTTGTTTGTGTGTGTGCACACACACAAGATGATAGTTCATGGTATGTCTAAAATGTAAAACATACCCACCAAATATACAATAATCTATAAAATGAAAAACAAAGAAATGTTACTAAGCACAAGTAACTACATCTACAAGTTCTGAGAGAACAGGAAGGCAAGAACAGGCTAGAAAGAGGAAATCTGGGAGGTGGCTGATTTATGAATGGGACAAAAACATAAGGCAGCAGATTGTACAGGTGCTGGTGGGAAGGGCACACGCTTGGACATACAACCATTCTGAGAGATTTGGGGCCAGTCTCTCATCTGTCCTCTCTGTCTTAGATGCCTCATTTGGGAACTAGAAAATGTCCAACATGGTGTCTGTTGCAAAGGATTCCTTTGTGTAAAGGATTCCTTAGAGAAGTAAATGCAGCACAGGAGAAATACGTGACTCCTTGGCAGGTACGTGTTGCCATGCAAGTCTAGTTTGGCTGGGACAGCCAAGACACACAAGTATTTTCCCTAAAACAATTCTGGCTCTTAACCACATGAGGAACTCATGGGACAGAGGTCACATTTCAGGCCAGATCATTTAGATGGTGCTGCTTCAAACAGCATCATTTTATCCATCCATGTATTTGTGCTCAGATTCTGACTTTTGGAGAAAAGAAGTGGACAGATTTGTATGCACAGTCACAAAAAGGAATGACAGCAAACAAAGGCTGAAATCATACCATCTGTTGGTTTGGTGTTCATAGGACTTGGCTTAATCAGCAGTCCAAGGCCTTCTTTCAGTTTTAGAAGCTACATAATTGTCTTAAATACAGGGTATTGTCTTCTGCTCCCATGTTCCATTGCCAACAGCAATATTTTTCCCACCACTTTATTTTACTGTCCTCTCCCCACTTGATACTATTCTCCACCCAACAGTAACTATGCTTAGTTGCTATTAGCATAATTTTACCCCAATTATCTTTTCTCTTGCTGATTTGGGTTGTTAGTTGTCTCACAGCTACACATTATTCTTATTGTTGTGACACAGTTAAGATCAGTCTTTTCAAGGTATATTTATTAAAGCTAATGAGTATGAGGCATGCGATTTGAAGGTCACAGAACAAAGTGGGACCGTGACTTCTGAGGTGGTACTTAGAGGCTGCCTGCATACTCCCAAGGTCCTCATCAGCACCCAGAGTTGAGTTGCTCTACGTTTAATTTAATAATTTCAATGTCTTTTCCTAAGGGATGGCGATTTTAATTACAATTTTCATTTATTTCCCAGTGATCGTGAAACACCACTGATTTCAGGGAAAGGATTTTAAGTCTACTGCCCAAAGAATTTGGGTCTGGTTAAGAGGATAACGGAGAGAGTAAGTGTTGGGAAAGCAAAGGGAAGACTCGATG